ATATTAACTCCCAGGTATAAGATGAGTAAGTTCTGGAAATCTAATGTACAACGTAGTGATTATAGTTAATAGTAATGTATAATATACTTGAGAGTTGCTCAGAGATCATAAATGTTCTCACCACGAAAAAGAAATGGTAATTATGTGAGGTGATGCAGGTGTTCACTAATGCTATGGCTATAATTATCTTGCAATTTTAAAAAAATAGTTATACATCTCTATTTTATAGAAAAGTTAAATGATTTTCTTAAGAACTTTAGCTCTTCACTACACTACTTCTCACTACATCATTTTTTTCATTCTTACCTTACTAGCATCCCAAAATGTATTGAAACAATGGTTCATGGTTCTAATCCTCAAAAGTTAAGAATTTTGAGGTGGTGTTGTTTCTATCTGTTCTCTACAGTTAGAGATTCTCTACCGACCTCACTCTCTTTCTCTTTCTGTAATTGTTAGGTCTATTCTCGTTTTTCTTTGTTTCTTTTTGGTTTTCAGTCTTTGGCATGTTTGGCTTTTCAGCAATGGTAGACACCGCTTGACAGTCTGCTGGTGTTCAGAGGGCAGCCTGCTCTTCTCTGTCTCAAAGAAAAAAAAAAGATGTTTTTGTGAAAACTTGTTTCTTTAGAGCTTTCCTAGTAGTCTGAGGATTCTAGAATGCAGGATTTTGAATAGGAAAGATTGATTGGATTTTCTATTTCTGTCTTACCATATCAAGGGTGCTTTACCCATCTGAGAGATTTTTTTTTTTAACAGTAAGGCTTATGTGTGTATGTATGTATGTGTGTGTGTGTGTATTTATACTGTGTGTTCACCTCCCATAGTTAGATTTCTTTCTGTCACCACATATTTGACTTCCTTTTCCCCATCTACCTCCCCTCATCTCCCTCACCCCCATCCTCTCTGAACCACTAGTCTATAGTCCATGTCCATGAGTCTCTGTTTGTCCTGTTCATTTGTTGCTTTTATGTTTATATCCCACATATAAGTGATACCATGTGATTTTCAACTTTTTCTGTCTGGCTTATTTCGCTTAGCATGATTATCTCGAGGTCCATCCACGTTGTCACAAATGGCAGTATTTCATTCATCTCTTCTTATGACTGAGTAATATTCCATTGTATATATATACCACAGCTTCTTTAGCCAATCATCTGTCGTAGGATACTTCAGTTGCTTCCATGTCTTGGCCACTGGGAATAATGCTGCTATGAGCATCGGTGTGCACATATCTTTTCAGATATGCGTTTCCAAGTCTTTGGGGTAAATACCGAGTAGAGGGATTGCTGGATCATATGGTAGATCAGTTCTTAGTTTTTTGAGGGACCTCCAAACTGTTTTCCATAGTGGCTGTACCAATTTGCAGTCCCACCAGCAGTGTATGAGGGTTCCTTTTTGTGCACATCCTCTCCAGCATCTGTTATTACTTGTCCTGTTGATTACAGCTATTCTAACAGGTTTGAGATGGTATCTTATTGTGGTTTTGATTTGCATTTCCCTAATAGCTAATGATGTCGAGCATCTTTTCATATATTTATTGGGTATTTATATGTCCTCTAGAGAGAAATGTCTGTTTAAGTCCACCCATTTTTTTTGATTGAATCGTTTGTTTTTTTTGTTGTTGTTATTGAGTTGTATGAGTTCTGAGAGACTTTTTTTTTCTTGTCAGGTAAAAATGAAGAGTACCCGCCTAGTGTAAATATTTGAATTATATATAGAATATTCACTTCCCCAAATTATAATGCAATGTAAATATAAGTTACAACATAAAATTTTGTAGCACATATTAAAATATATTTAGTGGGAAACAACCATAATGGATTTTAGATATTTTTGCCTAATAGTTTATGTAGATTTTTGCATTTTTGTTTTAAGATAGAATCAGAATTTTAGTTCTATAATCATTTTATGTATTTGGAAAGTGCAGCCTCCTGTGCCCTTTGCCCAAGGTTACATGGTAGATGTGGAGAGCTTTATTACCTAGATTTCCTGATTCAGTGGAGGACTTTTTCTTTTAAACATTATGGCTGCCCTCATGTAGGAGGTCAAAGGCCTTTTTTCAGAGTTTATTTTCTACTGTTAGAAGTTTGTTTCCAATGAGAGTTTTTCGGGTATTCAGATTTAATAACAGATGAATAGAGGATTGAGTTGTAGAAGATTTTGCTTCCTTTTTTTACTAGAGTTTTGTTTTTGCTCTATAACTGTCTCTTCAAAATAGATATGGGGTATAATTTTTTTTTCTTGGATAGTTCTTTGTCTTCTCCTTTAAAAAAACTTTTAAACTATATTACTATGTAATAATAAAGGTATTACTTATACCTTTGTAACCTTATGTATGGGTAGGGCTTTGGAGTTAGATCTTTAGGCTTCTTCAGTGGCTTTGCAATCACTCTATGTAGACGCATTGTTATTATCTTCCAGTAAACATTATAGATGACAAGTCAGTAGTTTGATGAATTGAATAAGCTATGGAAAGAGGTCAGTGGGCTTTTTGTTGTAGAAGACCAGCTTTAAGTTCCAAGTCAGCATTTACCAGTAACTGTGGGAAATCACTATTTTTTGACATTCAGTTTCTTGGTTTATAAGTTGGAATAATAAAGTCTACCCAGTTACCTCCATGGAATTCCATTTAATTAAAATACTATTTTTTTTGGTTTGCATATAAAATGGAAGTATACTTTATAAATGGTAGTGTACTGTAACATAGGAATTACTGGCACTGTCATCCAGAGAAGACATATTTGGAATCAGTGATGTGACTTTAGAGAAGAGGCAAGGATACAATTAGGGGTGAAGGGCGTAATTGATGAAAATGTATGCTAATGAAATAGAATGGAATCAGAGTTACCATAAGGGTCTAAGGAAAGAATTTTTAATTTTTGCCATATAATTTTTACTTCTTATTCTAAACACAAGTCTGTAAACAATATTGAGGGAATAATGTGATCCAGAAAAAATTATTTTATTTTCTTCATTTTTATATTGTCCCTATGAACCGATTCATCTTCAAATATGTTTCAGTTCTTCAAATATAACAGATTCAAATATCACAGATTTATAGCAATGAATATAGAAAAGAAAGAAAAACTAGAGTACAGAGCATCGTGCTGAATGCTTTCAGGTCTGTTATCTTTCTTGAGTTTCACAACTACTTTGTAAAACGGTGACTATTATTAATCACTGTTTCCTAAATGAGGAAACCAAGACTCACAGTATCATAAATTATATGTATAAAATCATTAACATAGCAAGTGATGAAACTGCCGTTCAAAACCAGGTCTGTCTGTAACTCCATATCCCATTCCTTGTTTAGTATTGTATGTGATTGAAAAGGGAAGTAGTGGTATCAAAAAATAAAATTTAAGTCTGTTAATTTTGTGTAAAGAGTAGAGTAGGATTTATATAAATTATTACAAATTATAAAAATGCATATCCGAACTTTCTGTTGCATTAATTAAGAGTTTTATCTTGAGATTTTGGCATAATTTATTTCACTGAATATAATTAAAGACAGAAAGTTGGAATCAGTATGTCTTATGTTCTAAATACTATTAGTGTATTAGTTAATTGTTAATGTCTTTTGTTACTTAGATGAATTTCCGAAGTTTCATATAAATGAATTAAGAGATCTAGTCTATACGTCCCAAAGGAATTGCTACTTTAAGAAATTCTGTCAAATGTTTTTGAAAAAGCAAAGAAAGAATATACTTTTTCTCCATATAAATTTGAGGACATATGATTTTTAAGTATAAGTGGGATTTACTTCTTGATGTATTTGAAGTTTAAAAACCTTTGAGAATTGTGATAGAACTGTCCTTTTGTTTTTATTAGATGTTAGACAAACCCAGTAGGCTAACTGATAAGGAACTTGCTGAGGCTGCAAGCAAGTGGGCTGCTGAAAAGCTAGAGAAGGCCGATGAAAGTAACTTACCTGAAATTTCTGAGTATGAGGTAAGGCCTAATTTCTCCTTTATGTTTCACATCTGAGGTATTTGTCTAGATTTTAAAATATGGGCAGAAAATACTTGATTTGTTCTAGTATTTTAAAACATGGGGGAAATATCCTCATGGATTATTAAAATTTATCACATAACAGTAGTAGTGTGAATATGAATGATCTGAATTCAGTAATTATACTACATCTCAAAGTCTCCAGTAGTTTAGTTTAAGACTATTGTAAATACGGAATAAAAGGAAAATGCATTATTTATATGCTACTTTTATGGGCCTTGCTGTCTCTAGAACGTATCTGTAGAAATCATGCGAAGCCACTATTCACAAACCAGTTAACTCAGAACAAAAATGTAATTAGACCTTGGATCTTAGGCTTTATTTATATTGCATGTTCTAGTCTATGCAATTATCTCAAATATCCCAAGAAATGAAATTATGTATTGTTTGGGCTACCTATGACCTTTGATGAGTCTTGACTACCAAAAGATGAGATCAGTTTTGGGTTCATAGAATAATATTTATGAAATGATTGTATTAAAATATTTGAAAATGGACAGAAAAATTTCTATATAACTGGTAACATTTCTAATAGAGAAATACAGACATTTCATGGACAAAATTAAGCTTTTAGATTCAGGATTTGGTGCTTGAGGAATTATTTTGACATGATAGGCAGAGAATGTAAAAATCTTTGTGCCATGACAGATTATGTATCTTTGGTGGAGATTTATGGCTTTTCAATATATTTTTGGATGCCTTTCATGGCATGTCCTTTGATGAAAGGGATCAAGCATTGAGATTTGATAATAGAAATTATATGTCTACATAATCTTCATAAACTATGAAAAGATCCTTTTCAGAATAGCTAATGCACACTGTTCATAGAAATCAGTACAAATCAGTACAGACCTTATCCGTACTCACACAAATAGAGACTTTCTTTTTAAAAGTGCTATGTTATTTTGATAACAATTATTCTTAAATAGATCAAGGTTTCCTTGTTATTGTAGCTGTAATAATAGACATTTGTGCGTATTCTTGAGTAAATGTATCAAAAACATCAAGCCGTTTCTTTTTAGTACCTTTACAGCACTATTTAAAAGCATGAACAAGACAGTAATACATTTAATAGAGTCATTTTGCTTATTTTAAAAAATAATTTAGAATAATAGTTTTTATATTATAATAGATATATATGCTTCAAAATTGCTGTTTTGGAGAACAGATCATTTTTCTCAGAGTAGTTTAAGTTAAAAATCTTTCAAAACACTACATTCTTGTTAGATAACTTTATCTTCAATTAGCAAGGTTTTAATAAAATACATCCTCCCCTCCCCCCATTATTTTTTTATATATCTTAATTTTAAAAAATTTTACTGTATGCTTTTCCCAGTGTTTAAATATATTTATATATTTTTATTATTAGTTGACTGGATCTTGACTGAATAGTCTATGACATAAGGTCTAGAAAGACTTTTTTTTAACCTCTTTATTTTTTTCTCTAAAATATGAACAGAATTGGCTAGGTTTTGAATAAGGGGAAGTAAATAACACTGAAAATCTGTAAGTGGGGTCATAGGTCAGATATGATCTTTTGAACCAAAAGCAAGTGAGAATAAGATCAAGATGAGTAGTTTGTTACTTTGTGTACATTATTATTGTTGAGCAGCAGCATTAATTTTTGTAGCATTGTCTAAGATGTTTTTCAAGGTAGATTGATACTTTTTCATACTGGAAATAAAGCAGCTGGAAAATTTTTATGAAGCTCTGTTTTTTATTTAAAAGCTTAATTCCACTATCTTATTAACATTTTGCCCAGGTAGTTAACATTTGCTCTCAGGCAATTGTTAAATAATTACTCGTTTTAGTTATCTATGTGTGTGTTTAAATTTAGTTGTGACAATATTTTTGTTTTATACTGGCTATTTAAAAAATGGTCTATGTACTGTAGAAACACCGTATAGATTCATTTTTATGAGTAGAGAGAGATTAAATATTTAGATTTCCAGTTTATCTTCTCTTGCTGCCATCAGTATAGTTGTAAGCAGTTTGGTTGGGAGACCGGGTATTTTATAAGTAGAGTCCCATGAAATTAAAGATACATTCAGTTATGTACTTAAATATTCAGGAATTTATAGTTCATTCCTGTGTTCAGTTTTGTACTTTTACCTTTGGACACTAATAGAGAATTCCCAGAGTATTTGATAAAATAGTAATTCTGAAGGGGTCCTAATGGTCTGAGGAAGAAAAAAAGATTCTGTTAGCCAGTATATTTGGGAAATGCTAGATTGAAAAGAAGTAGATTGATTTTAATAATTCAGTACTCTGCAGAGATTATAATATTAATATGCTCATCTGTGGTCTGTGAAAGGATGAATAATAGAGTTTGCATAATTTATCAAACGTTTAACTATGAGATTTCTTTCATAGTGCTATTTTAGGATTAGTGTTTTAAGGCTATAATACAGTACTGGGTTTCTCATAGTTTATTTAAATTCACTAAATATTTATTTTTCAATTACTTTTTAAAGGCAGGACCCACGGGACCATTGTTTATTGACCAGCCAGAAGAACCTGAGTCAAATGCAACAGATGGCATAGATTTATTTGAAGACAGTCAGCTAAACAGTCGCTCTAAAGCAATAGCATCAAAAACCAAAGAGATTGAACAGGTGAGAATCCAATTGTCTTAAGGTACATAGTCTTTTGTTCTTATCATTTTACACTTGGTATAGTAAATATTTATTTAATAAATATATTTCATTTTGTCTTTTTTTTTCACTTATGACTGAAATCACAATTTAGAAATTATAAAAATTATTTGATTTTACAGTAATTTTGATCAGGTGGTCCCCCACCCCTGTTTATTTTTTAAATAAAAAGCAAACTTCTTTTTTAGAGAATATTAATATTCTAGTTAGTATGAAGCAATTTAAAAACTACTAAATCTAATAGGAAATGCTGAAAGAAATATTAAATATACCAAAATGTTAGCAATTTTTTTGAATATTGGGCTTACAGAAATTTCTTGTTTTTCATTATGTTTCTAAGCATTTTTTAAATATTTAAAAAATAAAAGATAGGTATTTAAATCTGATTTTATTCTTACTGAAAAGTTAGGATCTTTTTATTAGATTAAATATATTGCTTAAGGAATAGTTATAGGACAAAACCTTTTAGCTGTATCTTATTGTAATGTGAAATATAATTTTGGAATGGAATAAGTAAGCTGAGAGGCTTTGTCTTACCTAAGATTTAAAAAGTAGAAATCATTTTTTTTCTAATACTTGTCACTGTGGTCATTATGCATAGCCAAATCTAAAGTGTTTCAGTATGGAAATATTACCTGCATCATAGGGTATTATCATTTTATGAGGATTAAATAGATAAACTGTAAAAGGGCTTTATAAAATGTAACCTGTTGTACAAAGGCTTGTTTTGATGGTTTCCTCCAATGCCTTGAATAAATGTCATTCTAAAAACTATTGAAAATTAAGAACAAAATTAAATCTTTCCTATTGCCGTTCAGTTCCACATCAATGAAAATCTATTTCCTTTGAATGGATAGGAGAAGATCTTAATTAAATCCTAGATGCGATTGTGCAGCTTATATTGATAACACACCAATGGCTAAGGTTAAGAACGTGGATAGGAAATTTGTCATGTAAGCCAATAGGGATTCAAAATGGAGGTGGTCAGCAGTACCATCTCCTTAGAAGAATAGAAAGAAAACGAAGACTGGGAATATTTTAATTTGTTGATGTCAAGGTGGATTGGTACCTTTCAAGATATCAGTTAAATGAGAGTATAAATAAAAGATTTGCCCACTAGATATATCTTCAACATGAATGTGAATATTATTACCTTATATAAAATCACTCCCTTTGTTTTGTTTTACTCTAATTTATTTTTCTTTGTAGCTTTTCTTGCCACTTGACATATTTTTATTTGTTTGCTTATCTCCCCTCACCATAGTGGAAGCTTTATGAGAGCAAGGACTTTGTTTTGTTTACTGCTTTATCTCCATCACCTAGAACAGTGATTGGCATGTAGTAGGCTTACAAGAAATATCTGTTATATGGATGATGAATGGAGTCATAAACCTAGAAGTGACCTTTGAAATAGTCTCTGAATCACTTGAAATAAGATACGGTGTCTTCACCTGACCACGTGACAGAGTGCCTGGGTATTTAGTAGGTGTTTGTTGAATGAATGATTTAATGTTATTTTTCTTTTTCACCTAAATTGTAGTTCTTTAAAGGAGAGGTTCTCTTAAGACTATAACTGCTAGAAAAACTTGACTAATAGTGGAGAGTGTCTTATTTTGGCTTGTGGTTTATTTTCTGTATTATCTCCTCTTGTTATTATTCATAGTTGATCTATTTGATCTTGAAAAGGCGAGTTATTAGTCAAATGTAGAGGCTATCTTAGCATTATACACATAAGGTTGTGTAATATGAAACCAGTTTTTATAGTACTTTATAGATATCCATATATATTTGATCTGTAAGTATGACTATATCTTTTTCCTGCCCATTGTTCAAATACTTGAAAAAAAATCTGATAAAGTATATTGGAATTATTACAGCAAAGACAAATGACCTAAAAAAAGAAAAATAATTCTAAAAGGACATTACCATATTCTAATATTACTAGAGAAGTAAAAACAGTTACTAGAAGTATTATAAAATAGAAAACTTAACGATACTAAATATTGGACTATAACTACTGTGTTTTTGCTAGGGTACTTTGGTTTTTATATACTGGCAAGAAAATCAGACCAAAAGCCCCCCAAAAGTCAGAAAGCTAGCAAATTAAAATTATAATTCTTTTATAAACTTGTGCCTAAAAGTTATAGTGATTTTGAAAATGAAACAGTAGTTTCTTTATTTTTTCATTTCCAACTTTTGCATATTTTATTTTTTAGGGATTAATGCCTGATGGATAAGAACATTACAAAGACTTGAGAATGCTAGATGGGAGTTACATAGCTGTCTAGTAATTATTCTTTACATTTTTTTTCATACGCTTGAAATACTTTACAAAGAGAATAGTAACCCCCCAAAACCCTGTATGGATGAACGCAACAAATCAAGCTTAAAATAATGTAAAAATATAGATATCGAGCTATTTTCTATGTTATGTCAAGTATTGTATGTTCAGATAGCTTATAAAGATAACCACATATAATAATTTGAAGGTTTATAAGTCTAGTCTTTCAGCCTTTGAATACCAAGAAAGTCATTAACTTGAGGCAGAATTACAATATAAAGTAAACTAAATTTCCAGGCCAAATTTGGTTTAATTCAAAATGCCTACAAATTTGGCTATTTGATGTTTAAGGGCATGCATATGGAGGTAGATTGTATCAGAATCATCTCAATGAGTGATCAGATTCATGTCTTATGCCATATTAGTGTCATCTCAATCCTGGGCATATACAAATTTGGTAAGGTTGATGATGTAGTTGCCTTTTGAAAAAGCTCCCAAGGTTATGATCAGATATGGCAGAGAACCACTGGTCTAAAATCCTTGAGCCAGAGATATCAAGTTGCATCTCTGAATATTGTGTTGCTAGAGATCATCCAAATTACCCTTCTTTTACTTGAATATCCTTTAGTGAATATGATCCATTCTTTTGCCACAGCACATTTAGCTTCCTTATCCTTTGGATTCTATGCTTTATCTTTTGTTCCCTTCATTTTCCCAGATGACCCACTCTTACTCAGTTTGGGCTTTTACATTCAATGATTGGAATATTTTCCCATGCTTTCTGGCTTCTGAGCCTAAAGAGAGTTAAATTTCAGAATTTCTTTTGTTAATATAGTAATTCCTAGAGAGATTTGACCCAACAAGATTATGGGTGATTCATATTCTGATTCAGGTGTTTGGCATTAGTCCCTTGACTCTGATATCCCACAAGTCCTTATGTACTGTTACTGAACTGTTTGATTTGAAAGTGCTTCCCACTACTTACTATTTTACCAATAAGGAATCTTGTCTTTTAACAAATTGTTACTTTGCGTGAACCACACAAATTGAAATCCTCTGTTATTACACAGCCTTCTTCCATCTGTTGCACTTCTAGGGATAAAGCAATATTTACCTTAACTCTTTGTAACTTTCTCCTATTTAAAATTTGTAAAGTCTCTCATATTTTGATAAAACTGTGCTTAGGTAGAGCCTGTCAGTAAGATTATCTGTTTTCTTGGGGTCTTGGCACCTAATATTAAAAGTCTCTCTGTAACTCCCCACTGGCAAGATCTAGATTAGATTTTCTATCTTCCTTTAACTTCAGATGGAATCAGATAATCTGAATAGATTTGGGCTGGATATATGTTATATATACTATACGTATGTGTGTGTGTGTGTGTGTGTGTGTAAACATACACACATATAATTTGCATATGCATGTTCAGCCTAGTAGATCATATGACTAAGTGTCAGGGTGGCTAAAATCCTCCTGAAGAGACGGCAAGTAGCAGAGAAATAGTTACCTAATGAAACAACTACTAAGGATAGTTGGTGAGCCACTAGAGTACATTAGGATCTTTTGCTATGCAAACTTGTCTTGAAGAAAGAACCTTACCTCTCTTAACCCTCAAGCCACAGTGCTTTCAAAAGTAGAGGAGCTTCTTGGATTTCTACCATAAATATTCCGATAAGTAGGTTATCAGAGATTCTCACACTTTAATATACAAATACATCACTTGGTGATTTGTTAAAATACAAATTCTGACTCATTAGATCTGGGATAGGGCTTGAGATTGGAATTTCTAACATTTTCTCAGAAGATGCTGATTCTATTAGTCTGTGAACCATATTTGGAATATCAAGGAGTTGGAAGGAGGTGACTTTTTTCTTGAGTTCTAATGTAGTTTCTGCTGTGCTAAATGGTTGAAAACTATTACCACGTTATTTTGTTTTTTAATTGAGGTAAAATTGATATGCCATAAAATGCATAAATCTTAAATATTCAGTTGGTTTAATTTGACAGTTAAAACACTATGTAACTATCACCCAAAGCAAATCTTTATGAAAGGCTTTCTTTTCAGATTTGAAGAGTTGGTTATAGTGACAGTAATAAGGATTTAGTTAGAAACTAATGTTACAGTCATGTCTCAAAAGTAGGTGCTCTGATTTGCTTTATGTTAAATATCCTGCAGCCCATCCCTTGAAGGTCATATTTTATGTGTTAACAAACATAAGCATAAAATTTAAAAGGCACAAGAGATTATGCAGTACAAAATAAATTTGCTTTTCACCCATAACTTTTAGCTGCCCAGTTTATTTCCCCAGCATATAGATATGCTCATGTGATATGTATATGTATGTGTATATGCACAGTTTATATATAGTATTCGTGTATACATGAATAATACACACACACACACATACACCCACACATCTGGAGAATGAGTAGAGATAAGCGTTGGTTTTTGCATCTCCATACTTTTTCTTTAAATACAAATGGTGGCATACCATGTTACCTATTCAATATATCTTAGGGACCATTCTATATCAGTATATATAACTAGTTCTCTATTAATAGATATTTATAATCCCTTGTTAACCATGTTTTAAAATACAGTTCTTCCGTTTTTTTTTCACATTTAAAAAAACTTTCATATGTGTATTTTTTAAGTAAAGTATTATACTTAAAATGGGCAGT